TTTTGTGTGTATATATAATACATACATGCACACAAGCAGTCTAATTCTATTTATAAGTCACAGTGGGAATTCCTTTGTGAGGAAAGGAGGGGAAAAATTCCTGAATAAGACACTGTAGATTCCTAATATTCTGACTTTTCAAATTCCAACTCACAGAGCTAACTGGAAATAAATACATTAAAAAAAAAGAAAAGGTCTTACAAACTTGGTTCACAACTTCCAGCTACAGTAGTTGGATTTTTTTAATTTGATCTATTTACCCTGTAACTAAATTTCTAATCATAGGTACAAACCACAGATAAATTATTGCAGAATGTAACATGCAAAATAAAATTTAAAGAGAGTTATAGGAACAGTAATATAAGGGTTAAAAAGAGTTCTATGCTTTGTTGATACAGGATACCATTTTATTTTTATATATATATATCTATATATAGATATAGATATCTGCAAGGTAGCAAAGAATAGCTGTACACCTATATATATATTATATATAGATATAGATATCTGCAAGGTAGCAAAGAATAGCTGTACACCTTGACACGGCAAAGATCCAGTGTAAAAAGGTGCTTCACTAGTTTGTTTTTCCAAAAAAGCTTGTATATAATTTTATAGCTATTAAAAACACATATGCAACATAATTCATTACACTCAATACAGCTTTAGTATAAAACTTATAATTTATGAGGTGATGTTAATAGCATAAATTAATATACCATTTCTCTTAAAATCTACAATAAGTATTCTGAAAGCTCATTGGGGAAGGGTATCTTTAAATAAAAAGTTTAAAGCTGAGCGTGATGAAAAAGATTCTGTATGTTGAACTTGAGATGAGAGCCCCGAGAAGAGAAAGAGTCCCTAAGCCAGACACCGTGGACTACAAAATTGAACAAAGATTTCTCCTTCTTGCGCTCTCACTTAGGTGACGCTCTACCTTAAATTATTATTTACTTTTAAAACTATTTACTATTTTTTTTTGTTAACTGCCCTTATTTCCACAAGGAATCCCTGAGACATACCCAAAACTGTACAGTGAAGGTCATCACTGTTCAGAGAAACTGGTTCAACCCCTTCTGGTAGGATGTAGCTATTTTGCATGAGAATCGAACTGTCCATCACTTCAGAATGAATCTATTTGCACTGGAACCAACTACACCATTTAAGACGCAGGTTAGAGAGTCATTTCAGGGTAAATCAGTCCACTCCAAGGTAGAAGCCAACGCCATCGCAGTTAGCTACGTCAGAGCGATCTGCGCCAAAGTTAAAGTTTTCCAGAGGATATCTGGGAACGTTACCTATCCAGAGTTCACCTTCGTGGGCACCGGCTGACAATGACAGAAAGCAGGTAAAACATTAGCATTACTGGACCAAGTTCAATACGCATATGCGGTCGATACGCTGGTACTCTGGACATCTCACTGTGTGTGTGTTTGGGGGACTAGCAAGGGGAAGGAGTAGGAAGAATGCATTTTTCTACATCAAGTACAGTTTTAAGGTCAAAAGCCCAAGTTTCATCCTGTTCACTTCCAAACCAAATTCTATGAGCCAGAGTAGACTGAAAAGGTGCCAACACTTACTTCAAGGAGACAGAAAAAGAAAGCCTTCTCCAACTATTGCTGTCAATCTACAGCCAAGCCCACTTTCTCCTTTCATGCTTCCGCTACCTTATTCCATAGTAGCCAGAGAAGGAGTACGTCAAAGCAGAATAAAACAGGGGAAAGAAAAGAACCCAACAACCATGAGAAGTAGCAGAACAGCAAAGGGAAAAGCTCCCAAAACAGTCACTCTTGGGTTTTTTTTTAAAAATGGCTGAAGACATGAGTGAGAAAATTGTTCTAAGACACATCTTTTATAACTTCTCCTCCTCCACCAAACGTTTCTTTCCCAGCAACAGTGTTTTTGTCTAGTTTCAAAGACAAAACCAAAACTTTACCTGATAGAGCTAAGGTCTCTCATGACCAGACCTCTCCTAAAGTCCAAGTTTAAGTTTAGTAAACACAAATGTAGATTTTTCCACCAACCCTCCTTACTTTTATTTGGGCTCACAGGTATTAAAAAGAATAATTTAAATTTTTCTTTGTGACTTTCTACTGATGCACTTCTCAAAAGAAGAGGAACCTCTGAGAAGGTAAACTCTTGCTAAAAAAGCCTGCACATTCACTGCTAGCACGTGCACTCTCATGATCAATGTTGTACCCTCAGCATCTAGTTCATGACATATTAGTGTGCTGTGAAACATCATCTTACTCACTGATCTGAGAAATACTTTGATCTATTGCACTGTTGTTCTAGCATCCAAAATGTATGTTATGAATTGCAGGAATCTCTCTTCCTTTTCGTTTTACAGTCAGATTCGCTCAGGACCACAGAAGACTTACTGGTTGGCATTACTTACATTGGAGAAGTATCTGAGAATGGGAGAATAAAAGAAAGAATGATGAAGAATGTAAAAAGGAAGGAAATAAAGGAGGTACTAGAAGCAGCCCACAACACCCCATCATGAAATGTTACCCAAGAGATCAGAAAGACCTTGTAACCAGAAGATCAGAAAGACTTAAAGATCTGGTCAGCACATTAGCCCAAAACTACTCCTTCAGTTAGTATTTCCACCACTGCCGGACCTTGCAACAGGCCCACACAGGAGACTCCTCCACATGTAATGGTAAAAATACAAAAGCAAAAGGAAACATCCCACCACGGAAGCTGCCCAGACACCCACACAAACGCCTCACTGCAGAAGATCACTGCAGGTAAGTTTTCTATTGTTTGTCTGCTGAAAGCACCTCCTGCCACCGTCCCTGTGCCCTACAAGTCTTGAAAGATTCAACTGCAGGTAGCTGGCTCTTCTAAAAATTCTTCCCTCCTCCCTGCCCAAAGGCTCACACTGTTGGAGAATTCACCAGTGGAATCAGCTCGCTGCAGCACAACAACAGGAAGAAATACCCCTGGAGCCCTGCAAAAGCCTACAGGGAAACACAGCAGCCACGATGCTGCAGGAGCTCAGGGAGGAGCTGGAGTTCAGAAGCAGACTAACAACACATGTATGTAACCACCAGGGCCAGCTTCTCAGGGAAGATACCTGTCCACTGTTTACTGTACTCCTTTGTGAGACTCTTCTTTCCTGGCAAGCAGATTCAATCCCAGACTGTATTTAGATGTGGTTACACCAAAATGAAGCTTCAAGTTGAATTTGGCTACTGGTTTGCAGGTTCAATCCTAGGCCCTTTGCCTTGGCCATGCTCCTGAAGCCAGTGGCATCACACTGTGCCTGACAGCTCACAACAGAACTTCCCAATTTTTCAACTAATACCCATCTCCCTCTAGAAAAAAAAAAAAAAAAAACCACTTCCCTTGGCTTCTCTTTGCTATTATGGATGACTCTCCTTGGACATTTTTTTCCTCACATTTGTACTTCCAATACCATCTCTGATTTTTGTCTAGCAGGTGATAAGCCTCTTGGGGCCTTCTAACGCTTTCCAAATGAGAACTGCAAATCCTCATTTCACTAACCTGCTGAATGAAGTGGGAAATCTAGCTGTTGCCGTCTTCTCCACAATGTCTGAGGCAGACCTGCAACTGTGCTACCTCTCAGCATTATCAATTTAAAGCCTTTATGCCCAACCATAGAGAGAAGCATGCTACTAACGAGAAGGGAACTAAGCAAGAACCTGGAGGAACTGGAAGGCAGGAGGAGACAAAATGATGCATCTTTTCCATCTTCTTGCATCACACATACATCTTCTTGTACCATAGTAATTACAAGGCCAAAGAACAAATCAACTTTGAGGTATCTAAGTGCATATGGCTCCCCTCAGAGTTGGCGTAAAGTCTTCCTAAGTGAAATGAAACGTCAAAGCGTGTCTTACAAAATTGCCTTATACACCAGGCCAGCATGAGGCTGTTCCTGATGAGCCTCTGTACGCTGTCGAAGTTCACGTTGTGTTAAGTACTTTTGTACAAAGACTAATTGAGGTGCTGTTATTACCAAAAATGATGTTACTGGTATTTTATTCTAAGTCTAATTTTTTTTTCAATTCTTTAAAACTCAAATATTATGTAAAGAAATTAACTTTTAGGTTCAACTAGCTTTATTCCATTTGTTAACACGTAAAGGGCATGACAGGTATCGACCATCTCAAATCAATGGACTGAAATTGCTAACTGGCTCTTTGGTGAAAGGGTGATTAGAGTGCTAATTGCTATACGAGGAGACGATACTCAAAAACCTCTGCGAGAGCATGGATTCTACTCGGGAACTACATAAATAACATCCTCGAGGACTACTTTAACCAGACCTGCAGTATTTCCCAGAGGAAGCGGTGTGAAACATCTCTGACTGCACATACCTCTCAGATTGGATCTCTCACATCCAACAGTAAGACACTGATTCACTGAAGTCAACAGGTTGTGTGGGTGTAGAAGCCCACCTGGAATTATCCACCTTGTAAAGCTAAGATCAAGACCCGTAACTGCTTGGTAGGCTGTAACCATGAAATCGGCGGCAGTGAAAAAACGAGAGGTGAACCAGGAAAAGGCAAGAGTGGTGGCCCATTTCAGAACTCTGTGTCAGACAGGACAGAGGGATTCCTATTTCAAATGTATACAAACCGAAGTTTATTTTTAAAAGTGCAGCTTTATTGCAAACTTAGTTTGCTCATTGAAAAATGTTACGTAGTCACTTTTCAGGGAAGAGTCATCAAGTGATATAAAATAATTGAAGTCTACGCAGGGGAAGAGAGTTGATATCCTAGGCTGCTTTAAAGGAATGCAGGTACATAACGGCCATTGATTTCAAATGGGAACTATGGACCTGCATAGCTTTGACAGCTTTTGAAATTCCCTGTCTAAATCAATGCTCAGATTAGGAGCTGGGTTCTGTTCTGAGTTAGACCAGTACAAACTCACAGTGACCTTAGACCAAAGAGCTCCTTCGTAATTTATACCAACATGAGCAAGCAGAACTTGGCTCTCAGTTCCTCTCCTCCCCTCCCCCCCCAGCATTTGCTAAGAAAGAGAAATGTGATGTGGGGCAAATATACTCTGCACAAGCTGCAGCTTCATTAAAGAGTTTGATGGGCACAAGAATGATTTCAAGACCAAAGTCCTGAAACCAACTTATAGAAATTAACATCCTCTAAAATGACATGAATACACGAGCAGATTAAAGAATTAACCATTTGGTATACTAGTTCTCCACTCTTTTTCAGCCAGTCATCCAAACACATTGAAGAAGGCATATGGACACAACGAAAATCATTTGCAAATCAAACAGTTGTCTCCTCAACAAAGTATGGGGAACATAATACAAAAATAAATAAATGCCTTGTCAGATTTGCCTCATTTCACAATACCACTGGGCATTCCTCAATCAGCAGGACAATCACAAGCAGGATTTCATAGGCGTCAATTCAACTTTTTACATGATTTAAAAACATTTAAATGTTACAAACATATTTAAATCACCACTTAAAAATATTCGGCTTATATTATTAAGATCTATTTTACCAAGTATGAAATAAGGACTTCATAACAACAGAAGCATGAAAATCATTTTTGTTTCCTCCACCCACATACACTTGCAATTTCAGAAAAGGACATATGCATCATTCATACTCCTTTATATTTAAGGAGAACAAATCTTTCAAGAAAAGAGGGATAGTATGATTGCTACGATAGTAAGAAGACACAAGACCTACCCTGTTTAAATTCTGTTCCTTAGCAAGACGGAAGGAGAGGTTTGGGTCAGAGATTTTGGTGTGGGCCTGACTGCTAACAAAATGAATTTCTATAGCAACTAAACTTCGTTCAATGATCCTTTGCTCAAACAATTTGTTAGGCCTCCCTATTATATGTGCTTGGTATCTCTTAATTTCCTGAATTAGACTAGAATACATGCAGGTAGGACATTTTACTGTAAGGTAGAATGAAATCTGCCTTCTACAGTAAGAGACTGAAATGTGGGATTTTCTGTTCTCTCTTGTCTGCATCTCAGAAACAAACCAAGAAGAGTAAAGACTTGTTATATTAAGTAGGAGCTACTTTTACAGTCAAAGTCAGAGTACAGTAGCAAGTTTGAGCCCTATAAAGTCACAAGCAAATTCCTTTTTTCTCTTCCTGATAAAGAGATGCAAGTAAACACCTCAGAATTTCTGCTGCTGTTATCTCTTGGATTAAAAAACATAAAATAAAATAAAATAAAATAAAAAATCTAAAAGCTAGTGGACTCCTTTCTTTAAGAACTGAAATTACTACCAAAGAGTCTGAATACTATCTTTAGCAGGTGGGCAGTAAAAGCAAAACTGTCCTGCAGACAGAAAGAAATCTTACCTATTTTGCTTTAGTGATTTCTCTTTTGGTTAGCCATGACTGCTGATAGGTACCTGCTAGTTCCTTACATACATTCAGCTTCCCATACAGAGCATCATACCCTCCAAGTATCAAAAAACTATATGGCTCCCAGGGGGGGAAAAACTATCCAAGAAAGTCTCAGTAGCTAGACGTAATTTGAGAAATGCATCCATTTGAAACTTACCAAAGGGTCTGACCTAGACTTGTGTGGATGGGCAGAATACCAACCAAATTCTTCCAGTTTCAGCTGGGAAATACCTGTCAGCCTGTCAGACAAGGAGTTCTGGACAAAGCCACACTTGAAAAGGCAAATCATCAATGCTACAAGGCCACAGTAATTCAGCAAGGGAGGGAATTCCTGCACAGGAATCTTCACTAATCCATGATCTATTTCAATCCTTCTGGTTTTTCTTTCTTTTTTTCCCTGGGCTAACTTTGTATCAGCCTTCAGATTCTGGGCAACCAGTCAACTGATCCCCTTGCTGCTCAATGAATTAAAAATCATCATAATAAAAAACCAAAAATCAGCATGCAGTAAGAACAGCGACCAGTTCTGGAAGGGGACAACTCCCACTTCTTCACCAAAAGAAGAAAAGGAACTGCTGCTCCCTGCACCCCAAACACACACACGCACACAGAGGAGGTCAAGAGACTATTTTAAGAAACTGCCAAACTCATCCTTGAGCCATGATCTTGATTTAGGACTTCAGCGCACCATTCTCAAATCAATGCGCGCAGCCAAGTTTTCCATGCCAGATGCTACCTTTGGAAAAAAAGTAAATAAAAAAAAAAAAATCAAGAGACTGCCCACTGGAAAACTTTCTACCAGATGCTGCTCGGATGGCAAGCACTGATCTGAACCCTAGGAAACAGTAACATGCATCAGTACTCTGAGGTATCTTCCCATTTCTAGGTCTTACTGCTAAGATCAATTACATCCAGTAACTGTGCTGTATCCTTAAGGAATTATTGGGGAACAGTGAACCTGCCTTCAAGAGACTTCTGCCCACTGGAAAACTTTCTACCAGATGCTAGTCGGATGGCAAGCACTGATCTGAACCCTAGGAAACAGTAACATGCATCAGTACTCTGAGGTATCTTCCCATTTCTAGGTCTTACTGCTAAGATCAATTACATCCAGTAACTGTGCTGTATCCTTAAGGAATTATTGGGGAACAGTGAACCTGCCTGCAATAAATGAGCACCGGTGCGTAACAAGCACATGTGAACGCTACAGCAAGGTTCACAGAGGGCTAACCCTGGTCAGTACTGAAGCAGGGGTTTTCTTCTCAACCCCCTCTTAAAAAAAAAAGGGAAGGGAGGACAGAAAAAATAAAGAAAAAGGAAAAAAGGAAAGATAGAAAACACAGGTCCCCCATCTACCTGCACAGAGCCAGGCAGACAAGCTCAGTTGGAGGTGGTGAAGGGCGCGGATGCGTTATTGGTACTGGTAGCGGTGGCACCGGTCACTGCGAAGCCCGTGGGAGGAGCTATGGAGCTGTGGCTGGGCTGCAGGTCCTTGGGGATGCCACTGTGGGAGCTCAGCTGGTGCCCAAAGGCTGCGCTGAACTGAGGGAGCTGTTGTTTAGGGGAGGTGGAGGCCATGAGTTCAGCAGAGGCAGGACCCATGCCACTAAAACTGGTCTGCGGTAACCCCGGAAGCACACTGGAGCTGTTGGGGGTCACGGTGGCGAAGGCAGGCTGTGTGGTCTCTGAGTGCGAGGTGGTAGGTGGTGTGGACAGGGAGGTGGACAGGAGGTGTCCATCTGCACCAAGAAGGTTACTAAACGGAGAGGGGTCCCCAAGATTGACAGGAAGATTTCCCCAGTGAGTTCTGGGGTTGACCACCCCGCTAAGTGGCACATCCAGCTGAGTTGGGAGCAAGTGCTGTGCCATCATGGGCATCTCTGCTGAGAAGGTAGCTGCCAAGTTATCACCAGAAAAGGATGTGGTGTGAGGGGATGTGATATGGTCACTGTAGGGAGACGGCACATGCTCACTATCATAATGGCTTCCATGGGGTGAGGAGTGTGAATGGTCACTGCTGTATTGCTGTCGTGAGGTGATCAGGTCATCTGCCTTGCTCAGCAGCTGGGCAGGGTGGGGCCTCTGGGAGGCATGGCTGCCATCATGAAGTCCATGAAACTGTCCTGGGAAGGCTCTCTCCCCAAGGCCACTCTGGCTTATGAGAGTGGCAGAAGTAAGGCTGACGTTGGCTGGGGCTGAGAACTGCCCCTGGATCTGCCCTGCCAGGGGCGTAGGTGGGTTGGACAAGGTAGCAGAACGGAGCAAGTTCTCATCCAGCTCCAGACCGGAGAAATTATCATGTACTATACGCCCATTCAACAGCTCCCCCAGATCCGTGTTAACCTCTCGACTCAAGGACTGCATTCCTGGAGCTCCAGCACCTGTAGAGAACACCCCTATCCCTCTATCTGACAGCTCCTGAACTGGCACACCATCTGTCTGTGTAAGTACTCCAATGGTACTCAGGCACTCAAGAGAAGTTACAGCCTGCAGGGCCCGTTCCAGTTCTTCAGCCTCTTCTGTGGTCGGAAGGAGATCTCCATTTTTACCTGCAGAAACAGGGACACCAGAAGTTAGCACGCTCCTCTCAGGCGAGCCCGGCACCAGCACTCTAAGGATGCAGATGTACAGACGGTTCAGTACAGAGCTGCAGTGTGTGATAACCTTCCAGAATGGCTTGTGGTACACAGAACATTTCCTTCACCAGTGTTCACTAGGTAAGCAAGGTAAGAAAAACAAGAAATTACACCTTCCTCATCAATGGAATTCCTTTTCTCCGCCCTCCTCCTCCACATACTACAACATAAGATGCCTCCCGAACTCACTAGACTTAAAGTAAAAATGCTTAAATAAGATTTTCTTCCGTGCTGCAATAACACAAATAGTCCACAAACTCCCTTCTACTTACCACATTACAGCCTGGACCTAAAATTTACACAGTCAGTATAATTTAGGTTAATTTCAACTCAAACACAGTCTGATGTCATGTCATATCAGAAAATGACCAAAGAAATCACATACCCCAACTCTGGGCTGTTCTAATTTCTTTGTTATCTGTGATAGGTACTGAGCTTCAGAATCCAGAAATTCAGGCACATTTCTGATCAAAAGCTAGTTTCAAAAATGTATTTAAAGATTTTATTCTCTCTTCTCCTTTTATCAAAGGCCAACATTAACTGTGATTCCAGCCCCACTCGATGGCAGAAAGATGCCATTACTGAGAATACTCTTGATTAAACTGCAGCACTGACAGGCAGTAAAAACGTAAAATGAATTATTAAAATACTAAACCAATTAGGATTTTCAGAGCTGTAATTCTAAGAGCAAGCAGAGAACTACACACACCAGTCTTCTTAAAGACTACTTTACTTCAGAGCTCACAAACAAACAATAGAGCAAATGCACGCTTCCTTCTCTAGAAGTTATTACCTCTGTAGGAAAGCAAGCAACCCCTCAAAATACATTTTAGAAACACTCTCTTCTTCAGCTCACTGACTGGGTTCACAATAGCATAAAATAAAATGGTACCTTCAAAGAAATCAAAATCTTGCAAGTCATCGGGCAGCCGCGGCAGGACATCTGAGAAGTCCTCCTGATTCAATTCCAAGTCATGTGGAATGTCTGTGATCTCGTTGGCGATATCATCAGGCAGCTCATCGGCACTCAGCTCTGGTGTGGAGGGGCTCCTGGACAGAAAGTACCGTTAGTCCACCGTATTCAACTCTGATTCCTCCAAACAGCAACTATGAATGCATATCCATCTATAATGGGTGTTTCCCCACAGTTGTTTTTTTTTTTCTCCCCATCATCTAAGAAAAAAATGCTTTTAGAAAGTTTCTTTAGGAAGCTTACACTTAGCCTATTGATTAAATACATAAGATGGGCATCAGGAGCAAGATATTTTATCCATCAAATTCAATAATTGCTCAAATCTAAAATGACCCACTCTAAGGTTTTTTCCAACAATCACATGGAGATGCAATTTCTATTCCCGCTCCAGATGCTGATCAGCCCAGCAACATCACACCTTTCTACAGTGCTCATTGACAACGTTCAAGTTAGCAGTGGGCAAACTGGGGCAGGGCTACCACTGACCTTATGTGGGGCATCTCTACTGGCAGTGAGACACTGGCAGGCATGGTAAGGTTCCCCTGGGGCACTGCAGGAGGAATGGGTTTCTGGGGCCGACGTGGGCCTCGCCTTCTCTTCTTCTTGTGTTTTTTGGTAAGTGCAGGTGGCTTCGTTTTTTTCCTGGGTTTCCTCTGCTGCTGGTGCTGAACTTTACGGGAGCTGTCCCCTCTCAAGAAATTGTCCTTCGGGAATAGAACAATAGCAATGGGAGCATATTAAGAACAAGTATTACTTTCCTTGCTTTTTTTCCCCCTGGTCATTCCACAGACATTCATATGTAATGCAAGAGAGACTGCTAACTTACATCCAGGCAAGGTTACAAAAATTAAGCTGTTTCCTTCCTCACTGATCCCAATGGCAAAAATCACATAGACCAAATTATGAGGTATGATAAATAGGAGATTGTGCAGTGTCACTTTAAAAATCATCATAGCAAACCCTAACTAAATCAGTGCAAAACTGTAACCTTTGGCAGCATTCCTGTAAGTATTAAAGACAGAACACTGTTGTGAGGTGGCGATAATGAGGATAGTGATCAGTAGCTGAAGCCAGCATCCTCAAGTGCCCAGTGCCATAAGAGAGGGGCAGCACTGAGAAAACGGAACTAATACTGTAGGGCTAGGGTAAGGATGTGGGTAAACAACTAAGGCGTCATTGCTTTGGAACAGCAATCATTGGCCAATTAAAAAATAAACCAAACCATCATCAATTTTCAGTTGCCACCATACTGGGATTGTATGTGCTACAGAAGTAAACCTTGAGAGACACACTGAAGATTGCCTGGGAGAGCGGGAAAATCCCATACAAATCTGCATAGTGCAGACCCTCACATTTTAATCCAGAAAACTCCATAATTTGCAACTATTGGAGAGGCTGGACAAAAACAATAACAGAAAACCCACAACAACCCAACAACAGAACAAAAAAAAAAAAGGGGGGGGGGGGCAGTTTTATGCCTTATGCCTTGAAGGAGGGGCAAGACAGAAGTGGGTTTGTGAATTATCCTAAAAGTTTTGTTCTGGAAGATGGGAGTCATAAAAGGAGAGCAGAGGACATCATCTTAATTTCTGCATTCTCTCAACTTGTAGTAGGCCACTGCTTTTCCTCTGGAACGCACAGATCCCTGAAGGAGTTTAAAGATAAATTCTAATAGTCACCAAAAAGTAAATAAAGCAGCAAAACCATTATTTGTATGCTTGTAATTGCTGTCTAGACTTCCTCTAGAAAATATTTTGGGCGCCATGTACTGAGCCTGTTTGAGATGCAGTGTTCTTACCATACCACACTCACACTATATTCAGATCCAAGGGCCAGGAGTGAGCCCAAACAAAATGACCACAGGATCTCTCACAATGATTTTCTATTTCTTGATTCAAGAGACGACTCAAATTTCTTCCGGTAAAGGATATTCTCATGCACACTTTATTATATCCTCAAAAGTATGTAAAAGATTTTCACAACACACTTTATACTAATTGGGAATGTTTGGCATGTTTTACCCTCTTAAGAAAAATAAAAGGAAACGAGCTCTTAAGTTCATAAACTTGCTAGTTGTCAAGCAAGAGTTCATAGGAAGACTGAGGCTAAAACTCCTGATCATCCCAATACACAAATAATTACAGTTTTGGCTTTGTACTTACCATTTTTTTGGCATGTTCTTCGCACAGAGGTGTCTGATGTGTAATGTCAAAAACTGGCACAGAGCACTGTTGACCATCCGCAAACTTGGCTGTGCAACTTGAGAAGAGCTGCTGAGAACGGTTCAATAAGATATCTGTGTATTTCTGCATCAGGAATAACACACAAGGCAAAGATGGAGGAACGCCCTTTGATTTATCAATCTGATGAAGATCAGAGCCTTCAACTCTACCTGTCCATAGATGCTATTTTTAATGAGTATCTTAACTTTGTTATTCAAGTTCAAAGCTAGGTAAGGCTCAAACTCAACTTTTAAAGTGAAAAACTGCATTCATGCAGAATCTCTAATGATTTTATTTTATATTGAGATCGTGTTATGGAAGCAGCCATTTCACTAATGAGTTCTTAGCAAAAAGAAGCCTTTTCCTGGAGTCTTAATCAATAGATCAATAGTAGCAGTTGGAACAGTGTAGTCAACAGGACTATTTCCTTACAGACTAATGACAATCCATACTGAAACATTAAAGAAAGAGTATTTCTTAATTCAATCTTTTAAGGTACATTCTTGGCATTTATCTTTAGAGCACAGACAAAGAAGTTTCAAGATCCTTCCTGTTCCTCTGAAAAAAAGATGTGCAATCAGAAAGAAAGGTCAAGTAAATCCAAACGTAAGCTTGCTGAGATTTCCTTCAGAAAAATCCCCTGCAGGAGTGAAAGTGTTTCCAGACTTAGAGCAAATCAAACAGATATTTCATTGTGTTTTTTCAAACATTAGAAGCACTCCTTCCATCTTGAACAGTTCTCAGACCTCAACATCACTATGTATGTTCAGAAAATGTTAAAACGCAAAAGAAAGGACAAAGAAAATGGAAAACCTGCAGAACAGTCCAGATGGCAGGCTTGGACGGATGGGTCAGAACGAAGAGCCTGCTCATTTTAGGAGAGACTGTTTCATTGAGAAGACATTGCAGAGGGGAAAAAATGGGCACAAATGCAAAATGACTAGTCTTGACTTCTCTGCTTTACACACACCAACAAGCAAGACCACTTACACTCTAAAAAAAAAACAAAACAAAAAAATCAGAATCATGAGGCAAATCCCAAACACAGCTGCACACCATGATGCTCTCTCATAGAGAGGTTTTGAACTGCTCTGCAGACTACTTTTAAGGGGCCTGCAAAAATCAACCAAGAAAAACAAGGCATCTGCAAACCAAAAAGATCGAAAAGGTACTGCAGTCTGATAGCAACTGGAACAGATCAGCACCAGTTACGTAAAATACCAAAACCAAAAGCTCGAACAAAAGGAGTCACTCCAACAAAAGCACCAACAATTCTTCAGCCAAAAACAAAAGAGACAAAGTCTGCAGAATTCTTAAGTATTCCAGGTCAGAAGTCTGCCTGTTTATAGCCTTCAGAATCAAACCTTACATCTAATGTGCTCCCTCCTTTCTGCGACCTTCATGCATTGACTCTTAAAATCCTTTTCAGGCTTTGCTTGAAAACCCCAGCGCTGGAAATTCTTCCTCATCTAGAATTTGGATTCTGTGACTCCTCCTATTCTGCTTCTTTAAACAATGCAAAGTATCAGATTTCCATCTTTCTAGTCAGTGTAAGCCCTCTTTTTATACTATGTGTAAAAACTTGCTCCCATAAACCCTTCACAGGTAGTTAGTCTACCTACCGCGAACTGTATGAAAGCCATGAGGCTGAAAGCCACGTGGTTTGTACCAAGTCATCAGTGAAAGATGATCATTTTTGTGAAGGCTTCTTGCACCTCCTAAATACAGCTTACAAAGTAAAACAATGCGACTATGATAGATACCAGTGGCAAACTACTTATCTTCACTGTCTACACAAACAAATCACACAGACAAATTAAGAGCAAAGTAGTTGATAAGACACTAACAAATAGGTATTTTTTTGTGAAAACATATTTGTCAGTGCAAAAACCTAAGAAAACCCCCTAAAACAGAACAGTTTCCATGCCTGAATGCAACTCCCAAACAGAGTTAAGAGGATACGCTGAAAACAATGCCTGGTGAATGGAAGGGCCTTGTTAGTGCACTGTTCTCCCTTCAAAGTCCCACTACAGGTTGTTGGTTCTGCATCTCTCTGCCTCGCTTGGCTTGTGCTGAAAAAAAAGCATAAAAGAGTTTAGAGACAAAAACCCAGTCTCAGGTGGTTACTTAGCACAACTATTGCACTGAATGTGGCACAGTAGGATGAAAAATTGTAACACACGCGTGTGTGTCATTATCCAGATGGGTGCACACTACTACCAGACTCTACACAGGGATACAGAATAGATGTCAATGACAGGTGAGATGTGACTGCAGTAACAGGATTATTGTTTATTTCACATTCATTTATTTGTAATGAGAGGTGCTGTGTGCTACTACCATGTAAATATTACAACACCCTGCAACAGAGCCAAGGACAGCAGTAGGTGAGTGTCAACACAGGTGACCCTTAAAATGAGGTCAATCTTTAGAATACAATGTATTGGGTATGCCTACATGGGCAGTCAAGTGCATTTCCAAGCCTCTTCATAAATCAAAACATTCCGAGCATCCCCAGAGCTTACATGCAAGCATGTGCTCAGACAAACTTAGACTGAGCTCTGGAGTGGCAGAGCCTGAGCGTGCTCAACATGGGTAAAAGCTCTCCTTCATCAACGTGCTACAGTCCAATACACCACCAGGTGCCCAGAGCTGAGCGCTTCCTCAGCACAGCCTCAATGCTTTGAGCCTGAGCTGCAAGCAGGCGACCAGACAGCAGTGTGGATGAGTACTGCAAGCGTTACACAGCTCGCATGGTGTTAGCCTGCTCTCAAGGCATTTGTCACCTTCATGTAGATAAAGCTGGCGATTCCAGGGCTGAATTTCACCTCTGTACACGTTGTTTTCTAGGTTGACAAAAAGCTGTCTGTAGCCTGACTGTTTATCTTCAGCCATTTCTGTCATCGACTGCACTTTGACTGAGCAAAGTTTTAGTTAGCAATATTACTCCTGTGAAAAATTTAGTAACTGAAAGACTCTGTGGTTACTTAAATTAACCAGAGCAGTGATGACAGGCATACCTGGCTTTGCCAGTCTACCCAAAACAATGTAATCTTTCTTGCGTAATAAAAGGTGAAAATAATGGAAAAAAAACTAGCAAGAGCTTGCCAGTTCTGGCAAGGTTTTGCTGTAGCTTAAGTTTGGAGACATTTACATAACTTCATAAACTAGTAATGTAGCTCTACATTACACCTCTGAGCAGCTCTTCAGCATCACTCCACCTCTCCAACAATAAACCCTCCACTGTCATGAACAACAGCCCACCATCCAGGAACAAAAGCATCCCATAACCAGAATATATTCTCAGTACCCTGCTCCAGTATGCCTCTCATGTTAGCCTCCCCTACCCCCCACAGTCACACATCCTATAAAGCAAAACCACAACAGCAAAAGGGTGCTGCTGGTACCCCAGACATAACGCCAGGGTTCAGACTTACTGTTTCTGCACAAATATGAATCAACCAACTCTCAGCATGCAGAGAGCTGGAGGGATGTTGACATTATCTAGAAAGAATTCCCACAGAAGGTAACCTTCAGAGTTGTTAGAAGGTATTTATTTTGTTGCCAGGTTTCATTTAATGTTAGATTGAGTTAAATCTAACAAAAAGCGCAAGATTAAGTTTGATTTGCTGGAAAGAGAATTAAGAGGAGGTACAGACTTTTCAAAAAAAGCTGTCTGAAAAACGAAATCTGAATTGAAGCAGTGAACTGCAGACCAGACTGCACACCTTTTAAAGAACTGGGCTTAGTAAAGTACCAGATATTTGAAGGCAGCCAAAATACATAGATTAATCAATAAGAATAAACTTTAGCAGGCCACTAACTTCTTTCGTGACATTTAAGAAATTGGGCCCGGATACTGCTGAACAAACAATCCACATTTTAAAACACAAAGCTGGAGAACGCCTGTCTTCATGGAAAATACTGTATGTCATGTTTATTTTACTCCACTGACAGGCATTTATGTGTCATGGTTTTTCTGCCTTGTGCATGCCTACCAGCTTCACAGTTCAGCATTTCAGCTGCTGGATACTTTGCCCATCTCCGCCCTGTCCAGACCCCGGGTTACTGCAGTCACAGGGGAAGGTCTAACCTGGTACGAGCACACGTAGCTCTTCGGAGTTCTTGTATCAGTTGCCCAGCACGCTCCGGCTCTCTGCTGGCCGCCTGCAGCAAGGCTTTCCGGAGTGTATGCCGGCATTTCTTCTGACGAGATTCTGCCCGCTCCAGGCGGCAGAGGTGCTTGTATTTCTGCTGAAAGTAAGTGCAAAGTCTGGTCACCCTGGAACTCCTGTCATCTGCATTGTCATCATCGGACCTGAAGGAGGGAAAATAAAACAAATGGGCCTTAAGTATTTTTTTTTTCAAGGAAGCTAATTTGTCATTTGAATAGAATTGTTAAGTTGGCATCCATCTTCTAGCCCCACAAGCGTCCAAAGGCTGAAATCAGGCAGGCATGCTTGAGAAATGGTAAGAGCAGGATCCCTTTTGAATTCTAAAGGTACTTACCCTTCTTAGTATGTCATTATTAGAGATTACATCAATTTATCATCAAGTCTGACACATTTAAATGTCTGGAGCCTGCTGTTCAAAAAAAAAAATCTATACTGTTAACCTTTATTTACTGTAAATGTCTCAGCAAATGAGACAAACTCTTAAATCAAAGTGCAATTAATGGAGAGGACGAGGGTGTGGACCTATGTAGTGGAAATTTAGTGAAGAAAGGTCATGCTGGAGAAGATGGTCAAATTCTAACAAGAACCAAAACTGCTGACCTTTTCCAATTCCTCTTACTCTGCCAGGTGGTCTTTTCCTTCCTAAACCAAAATACACTCACACAGCTAGCAGCTGATACTGCTTTCCCCTTGCTGCACAGTTAAAGTTGAGTTACAGTACAGCCATGGAGAAGAAATTCACATTTAACTCCAAAAGTACTGAGGGAAAAATCAGACCAGGGCTAAACAATTACCAGGTGAAGGACTGATCCAATTCTTTGTTTGCTTAAGAAAGCCTTTTCCCATTTATCTTGGCATTCTGAATGTCCAGGCACATATCAACAAGACCATCAAACCATGTCAACACATTCAGTTAAATGAAGTAAAAATCATGAAACATAGTAAAATCATCACTGGCACTTGTTAAAACAACAAGATCCATGAAGCTACCCAGAAGTCCTCCACAACAAGCACTAGTTTGCAGAATGACTTTTTTGTTCATGGAGCAACAAAGAGCATGCACTGAATCTAAGCAAAGCAGACTTTGTTCAGTTTTTTCTTTAAGTTTTTCCTTATCTGTAAAACAAAGGAAAGGCAGGGGGAAGAAAACAAGTCCAAACAAATGAAGCAAATCAAAAGCTCCCAAGGTTCAGACTGCAGAGCTTGGCCAGCGAGAGTGAATGAACTGATATCCAAACCTGCACACAGTAAAGCGGACCACAACTAGCTGATGATAGAAGAGATGAGAAATACCAGCCATGATATTTACTAAATAAAGTAAGATCCAGAAATACCGGCAGAATAGCTGTCTCTGAAAGGCAATATGACTAAGACCTATTTTCCTTTCTGGAAAATCTTACGCCATTCACACGCAGGCTACATTTTAAGAGACTGCATCCATCTCCACTAAGGCTGCCCACAAAAACTCTGCAGGAGCAAACACTGCCTTGACACAAATGCACATTTTTATAAAGTTTTATGTAAAGTCAACCATACTATGTAATTTGTTTGTTAAAACAGATTACAGATTATTTTCTAGAAGCATAAATTACAAGTAATTAATCTCTGCAATTAAATGCTTAGCAGAAAATACAACCTGTTAAAAATATTTAACATCTGTAAAGTTTAAAATATTTTCACATTGAAGATGAAAAGAAAATACACTTTTAAGATCTCTTAGGAAAGAATGCCTCCTGGGAGAAAAAACCTGTTGAGAAAAATTTAATTGTGTGCTATTTAATATAGATTTTCCTTTTCCCAATGTATTAATAGAAAACAGGAATACATGGATGGGATCAGTTAGATATAGGTAGGTCTAAGGTCTTTGATATTTCATTACTGCTCTAGGCCAAGATTTTTAAAACAAAGTTGCAGACATACTGATTTAATTTTAAATATGGTTACAAATTAACTTTAAGAAAAGACAGGAATATTCCTTAGGGAAAAAAAGTGTTTCTTTTGGGTGGAAAGAGTGTTTTTTAATGCAAATGTCTCAAATATAGAGACTTTTTACTTCTCTCCCATTGAAACAGACAGAAAAAAGTCATCGTATGTTAAAATATTTTGAATTGCAGTTTATGAGATCATTTAAAGAAAGTAGATGAAGACATATACAAGACGTAGAAAGAAATCATGCCTGCAGTGGACAAGGGCTTATTGTGAGGCTAACAGTTTCTAAATGCCTATTCAGAATTTTGTTTCCAGGCCAGTAAGATTAACCAAAACATATTTATATGTTCAAAGAAACCTAAAAATATCACAATAACACCTCCTTTTTTTTTTTTCACCAGGCAAGTACTGAAACCGAAAGGTACTTTTATTGTTTTCCTTTCATAAACAATTTTACCAACTTCTATTTAGTTTATTCTCTTAAGCTGCATATATAAGTTCTGAAGTTCAACTTAATGTATGGCATTTCATTTTTTAAACGATTTCTGAAAGTGCACGCAAACCATTTGATAATCCAAAATGCTTCTTCCCAACCCTACCCTTTAAGATTGTCGTGTGTAAACATTAGGGGAATTATTGCTGAGTGTTCATGAAGTAAACAAAGGCAGCACGAAGCAGCAGAAAGGAAGAGCAAAAGGGTAGCGCGAGCAGTCGGGCACCATCAGGGAATCAGGAGAACATGCTCTCTACTCCGAGACACACTAGCAACTGTACTTCAAAACCCTCTGTAAGAAGGGATTTGAAGAACCTTCCCTTCTTCCTTTTAGTTCTTCTAGTTATTGGGAGTTATTAAATCCAACTTTGACAATACAGTGTAGATATTTGCTCCTTTGAGTGAGCTGGTATGAGGAGGGACTCCAATCCCCACACTCCCTTTTCAAACTCACTACTTGAAACACTCGCTTTATCTATATTTCAGTGTAGGAAGTGAAAAACTACTTTGTTTTAAAGACATTTTTTTCCAGTACTTTCTAAGCTACAACACCCAGTAATCGAATCATCTGGGGGGAAAGCTTCACTAATCTGCAGCAGGGAACAGCCCCTGCTTTCCCTCCCAACTGCTTCTCCCGCGAGGAATTCCTCCTACCCCAGCAGCCTTCCCTGCCAGCTGCCCTGCCTGCACTGCGCCTGGTGCTGACTCCTGTGTTACTATTTGAACTCAGGCATTTGTGCCTGCCTCGAAGCACTGCATCCTGGAATCCTGCAACCACAGGAACCCTATTTTTCAAAATTAAAGGACAGATTAATAAAAGCAAACATTTGACCTGTGTTTCCACAGATGACTGCAACAATATGAGTTTTACAGATTAAAAGGCCAGAAGGCAAGTGAACTCAAAAACGTATTACTGTTAAGACACTAATTTTAAACCAATCTGGTGAATTTTTGAGTTTAAGAGCAGCTAGACTATCACACAAGAAGTTAAATAGAAAGTTAGAGGATTCCCCCCACAATCACAAAACCAGAAATGCGGAGAACAAGCTGTCCAGTAATGCAGAAATTAACTGTTAGCTTTCTTTTACAAAGAAAGCTTTTACTTTTTTGTTCTGAGAGGCATCCCTCCCACTGTCTTCCATGGAGTCAAATGGAAAAGGACAGAATGCAGCTAGCTGGTGGAAAGTTATCCCTTTCACACAGGGACCACAAGCTCAGACACAAATGAACAGAGAAAAAATAGCTTTAATTTTACTATGAAAAACAGTAATTAAATACCCATAGGTTTATTTATGTGATTTCAGAATCTAAAGGTTTTGGGAAACAATCTCTATTGGTTTCCTGGATTAGCCTCCAAAATTCAGAGTCATAACAAGTCATTGGCTGACTGAGTTAGGAGCCACCAGGCTGCACCGCCAGATTAGCAAGACAGAGTCATTTTGACAAATCAAATCACCCAAGAAATAGTCTGAACTAATTCATCTTCAGCAGCAGGCAGACCACACTGCAAAAGTGTCGAAGTGAAACATTTCAGGTAATAAAAACCTCTACAGAAGCTTGCAGAATAGGAATTAAAGTGAATGTATCAATGTTCATCCATAAACAAAATCAGGAAAGTTGTTGAAGAGCTAACACTGGGCAGGCTGATGGAAGTACAACAGCAGCCAGTACCATACAAAAATTTATCCATCATGATTTAGTTAAGACAGTGTTTAATTGAAGTGCATAAAATGCTAGAATGGAACAGAAAGTATCAAGACAAGGTATTATTTTCTCTCAGTATGTGAAAACAGTAGGAAGAATCCAAAGGAAGTTAAGACAAATAGAAGACAAAACACACAGAGATGACCTTTGTAAGTTGACAAAAAAAAGGGATCTATGGAAAAACAGATCAAACGTAAAAGAGAGAAGAGTGTAAGGGAAGTTATTTAATAGATATATCTGCTTTGAAAATTATGTATGATTTAAAAGTCTGAAAGTCTGTTCATGTTTTCCCAAAACAGTTTATTTAAAAGTTGCCTTTTAAGTTAAAACTAACGTTTGTGAAAGCTCACTCTCTCTGACTGCTGATGCCCTAAAAAACAATGGTCATTCATAACAGAAAAAATACCCCTTTCTTTTAAAAAAAAGAAAGTCTACACACTGCTATTAAGCTTTGATTCACTGAAGGCTCTCAGTATTTAGTATCCTGGTGTCTGTCCTGATGACAGAGACACAGCTTTGTTGTTCACCCTGTGGACGATCTTTAGAGATGGTAAGAAGTTCTGGTAAGTTTCAGAATTTCCATGTAACAACAAAATAATGATGATGTTTCATTAACATCATTACTCTGTGATATTTAAAAATTAAACAAATGGGAGACAGTTGTAGTACAAAAAGTCCAGTTGCATAATGAAAGAGAATCATGTTATAGAAACTACAATCAAACTTTACTGAGACCCCAATTTCCTTTTGTTATCAACATGCTTCAGTTTTGTTACAATACTATGCTTGGGATGCTTTGCTTTAACTTTATACCTTAAAATTTACATTAATAGACATATATTATCATATCCTGCTGTAAATTCAGATTCATGACTTAGCAGTATATGGAGAACACCATAAGCCTTTCTGCACCGGCAGCTAATACCTGCTCTGCTTATCCCTTTAATCACATCACTTCCTTTCAATGCTCCCAACTATTTGACAAAGGTTTGTTCAACACTTAATTATGAAAAGAAATGCCATGCCCTTTAAACAACATCCTGCACAATTACCATAAGGATTAATGAGTAAAATGCAGCAAGTTTACTAACAAAGTTATTCACAAATAGTAGGAAAGACAAGAAACCAATAGCAACTCCCTTCATTTGGTTCTAATTCAGGAAATACCTCTACTCAGCAAGGCACACAAGTTCATTAATAAATCCCACTAAACTCAATTAAATTTAGGCAAATAAGCTTAAATTCTTTCCTGATGCATCCTTCTGATAGCAGATTGCACAAAGGTGTCTAAGTTAGGTGGAAACTGGGACAGAAGGCTACAAGCTGTTTCATAGCTCTTACAAACAAATGAGTTCAAACAATCCTTTGCTTCAGCAAAGCACTCGAACAAGTGCTTACGTTCCACTGACTCCACTTGAAGTGAAGCTCACATTTACATGATTTATTCCATCAAGGCCAGCATGAACACTAAAGAATCATACTCACTCATGTCTCTCATAGCCAAGGGTTTCTCGGATAGACCACGCAACCTGGTAAGGGGAGGTTTGCTCTGAATCCTCCAACTCTTCTCCACTGTCTTCAGACCAGTCCAGCCCTAAAGGAATTGAAAACGTGAAAGCTGGATGAAAAGTGTATCCACCTCATATAAGTCTCTGAGCAATCTATGGCACAGAAGATGAATGTGTAGTATAGTCACAAGCATAATTATGTTTGATTAAGTCATATAATATTCTCAATTACACAGAAGTTACAGTAACAGCTCCACTACAGTGTGCAAATAGCATGCACTGATTTTTGTCAAATTTGAGTTTTCCTTTTCAAATCCTTATTGGCTTCTTTATCCATAAGCAGCGGAAGAAATATCACCAGCTTTCTTGCAGAAAAATATCACAAGCTTTCACACCAAGCACATGGAATCTTTACAGAAAAGGTAAGAGAGAAGTCCATGCCACGAAGAACTGACTGCCTGGCAATTTTTAATACTATATGATCTAAATAGGCCACTTTCATTTCTGTTTATATTCTGACCCCTGCTCTGTGCCAAAACACAGGGAGAATACGAAAACCGTAAGACAGAGCAGCGCGGGCAGAGATAGATACACAGCTGCACAGGATGTTCCTCCGCTCAGTCTCTGTAATTGCCTGCCAAATGCATACATTAGCATGAAAAGAGAGCTAAAGAGAGAGATGCAAATACTCCTGCACTTTTACTAAGCAGCATGCTTTCGTTTAATGATGATGCAGTAGGATCAACTTATCGTATGCACCAGCAGCCTCAGTTAGTCAAGCTAAACACAATCATTGAACAGGACAGCCAGAAACAGAGTCCAGTAAGTTCTCAGGAGGAACATTTTATCTGGAGCTTCATCTTTTGCAGTTTTTCCTTCTCTCTCCTACATCCAGTGGAATTCTTGCCAATTCCTTGCAGCAGGTGGGATAAAATCCTGTAGCTGCATTTACAAGCCAGCATTATTACTCTTTCACTTTCTTGTGTACTCCTTGAAAATGGAGCAGCAGTTGGGATAGTTAAGGAGCACTTTATTTTTGCTAAAAATAAACTAAACGACTATATCTGAGATTATTCTGACGTCAGATGCATCAGTACTTGGTCACCTACTTTCAGAGTTAGAGACACACACACACACTTGGAATACAATCATCAGGAGCACCTTCATCATTTAGAAGCAACACTTCAACATAAACTAGAAATATCAGAAACCCTATTTTTCAGGAACTTCAGCATCCTGAAAATTCTATTCTTTGTTCCTATTTTTAAGATACACATTTGAACTAAATTAAGATATCTTAAGACATTTGATAAAAAGCCAGAATTATACTTTCAACTTAAATGTTTTTTTACTCTCACCCCTTCCATAAAGGAATGAAAAAACAACTTAATGATTGGATAAAGATGTCCACAATTGATACCATGTAACAAATTATTTACCCAAAGTTTAAAAATAAAATCGGAGGTTGCACTGTTTTGCTCCTAATGGGCACTGCAGAAATGAAGGAATAAAATCTAATCCAAATTCAGCTATACTCACACTGAAGACTGCAGTTACATTAATATCCAATTACATGGCTCTGATGTAGGTACACATAAAACTGGCTGCATCTTTTTAAAGGTTCTGTGCAGTCATCTCTAATGCTACTCTATCATGAAATTCTCTGAACCAGCATAACCAGTCTTTAATATTAAGGCATATTATGAATAAATAACAAATATATTTTCCACTCTCACATAATTAATATGTGAATTTTGTTACTTTGCCAAATATAAAATGTTCTAATTGCATACACATACAGTTATGCATCTGCATAACTATATTTATAGGTCTAATCAGTTTTTTTTACTACGCCTCTTTTTTAGGAAAATGTATTCTCTTCACTACTTGTCCTGGTTTCGGCTGGGATAGAGTTAATTTTCTTCCTAGTAGCTGGCACAGGGCTGTGTTTTGGATTTCGTATGAGAATAATGTTGATAACACACCAATGTTTTAGTCGTTGCTATGTAGTGCTTACACTAGTCAAGGACTTTTCAGCTTCCCATGCTCTACCGACTGAGAAGGCTGGAGGTGCACAAGAAGCTGGGAGGGGGCACAGCCAGGACAGCTGACCCAAACTGGCCAAAGGGACATTCCATACCATGTGCTGGGAGGGGCACAGCCAGGACAGCTGACCCAAACTGGCCAAAGGGACATTCCATACCATTTGACGTCATGCTCAGTACATAAACTGG